AGCGATTTTGTCTTCTGCCTGGGCAGTTTGGTTTTTCCAGAGGGGGTTGTCCTAGTGTGATGCATGTGTGAGTAGCAGGGGGCCACTGGGTTGAACCCTAATGACCGCTTAATCTGCACGGGTCGGAAAAACCCGCTCTCGGTTGTCAGATGGCAATAGGAGGGCTAAAAATATGAGTGGGGAGGAGTCGGAAGTCGTAATCAAGTGTCCAAAAGACTACACGGGTTTAAATTAACGAACACATTTAATAAACAACTAAGAAAAATTACACAAAGATATTAAATACAACATACGCGTATCAAGATATAAATAGGTATTCTAAAATCTATTCTAACCTAACGCTAAAAATCCGAGAGAGAGCTCACGTTAGAGAGAGATAAATAATAATGGCAAGGGTTTACCTCGAAGGCAACGTTCTCCAATTATAGGGCGTTGATAAAACACTCTGTGATCGTCGTCTTCTATTCTGAGGTGTCCTTTGAAGGCTATGTGGAGCGATGTCCTGTTACAGTGTATGCTCCGTCGCTCCCAATATGTAGAGTTCTTCCTTGACGAAGTTCTTCGGAGGTTTCTTCAATCAACCTCTCCGAGGAGTAATTCCGTTGTATATGGAGAGAATAGAAAATAAGCAAAGTCCTTTACCTTTCATGGAGTGGCAATTATGAGCTTCTTAGATCCTGAGAGTGCTGGAAGATCGTGCGTCGATATTTCTTCCCTGACGATCGCTCTTGAGGTTTGCAGAGGGGTTTCTTCGGCTTAAGCGCCCTGGCTCAGCCTTGGCTCAGCCCCAAGTAGAGAATCCGACCCCTTTATATACCCGATCAGCGTGGGAAAAATCTGAGAATTGCTGACGTCTTTTGACATCTCCCTGATTTATGACAGTCTCCCGTGCCGTAGAGAAATTCATACCTTATTTGGTCATTTATTGTCCGGTCGCTTGGACGTATTGGGGTCACGTGACATCGTGGTCCCTCGTCGATGACCTTCGGACGACGAAAGTCACCCTCACTAACTACGCAGTTAGTGAAAAAATAAAAAACATTGTCCTCATTCTCACAATTATATTCTTAAAAAGTTTAAATAGAGTAAAATGATTACTGTTTATTACAGCTATGTTTATCATTAACTTTTTGACATAACATTAATGATAAGCTAACTTTATGATTATCAATATCATATAATATATTCTACATATAATACATACATAGATATGATTTTCAAAATTTTTTATTTTTGATAATTCTGTTTCTGCAACAATTACTGTGATGATGATAAATTGCTTGCGATACTTGTTTTGGTTTCAGTAGCATCACAATTATTTATGAACATTTTAATTATTGCCAAATGATATGCTAGATTATTTATTGGATTACTTTAAGATTAATTTAATAATTAGATATAAAGAAATTTGTAATTATTAAATTAACCTTAATATATTCCAATAAATAATCTTGCAGTTCATTTGGCAATACTAACTGAAGTGCGTCATATATGTTGTTAATTTCTATTGTATATTTTCTGTGGTTTTAATATTTTAAATAAAAAAAAAATTATAATGGAAAATAATAAATTATATAATTTTCTGAGAATAGATATCCTTTATAACATTTAACCCAATTGTTCAATTTTTATACATATTTTTAGAAACATATTGTCTGAAAATCAAGGGCTAATATGAAATTGTATACATCAATACAAATACAATATCATTTAAGAAACAATGTTAACTACCAGAATTTAATTGTAATCTTCTTGCCTCCAATAAATTATTTAATTATCTTAAACTTCCAATTGGGGGAGATATTGGAGACTTATCAAATTGGAGTATCAAAATAATGGAGATCACATCTTTAAAAACCAATTTTATTAGTGGAATGTATTTTGGTCCTATATAATTCCTCATACATAGTTACTGACCTGTTTAATACAGAGTAACATAAGGAATTGTTTGTAGATTATATAGAAGAATTTTAACCAGATGGCTAAAGAGGCAGTTAGCAATGTATATCCAATGTAAATTTAATAATAATAAAATAATGCAAGTATCAATTTTTATATAAAAGTGGCTGAAGAGGGTCTGTGTATGACCTAACTGCATTTCACTAATAAAATTGGTTTTTAAAGATGTGATCTCTCTTATTTTGATGCTCCAATGAGTCTCCAACTCTCTTTGATGCTCCAACAGTTTAATGAGTCGCCAATATCTTCACCAATTGGAAGTTTGAGATAATTAAGAATAATGCTAGTTATATTGTGAGATCTGAAAGGGCCCTGGGTCTAAATTAATAATTTCAGAATAATATTAAATTTTTTATAAAATATTCTTTCATTTGGGTGAGAAAAATAACATTTTACAGTGGGAAAGATAGATAACAGATGCTACTTCCTTCTAGGGAAGTTAGAACATCCTCTGTTTTTCCCTTATCTGCTAAAAATCTCGCTTCAATGGGAAATTTTTATCCCTCAAATATTCCCCTTTTTGTCCGTTCCCACGGAAGAATCTTTGTATGATGATTGGTCACCGATCTTCAGATATAGAGGAAATTTATCCGAATTCGGGGAGTTCATCGACAGACTGGGAAGAGTCAGGACTCCACACATATTTCTCCTGATGGCCAATGCCCTTAGTCGAATCACATAGAATGAATCTAGAGTTAGCGCTTAGAAGATATACTTTAATTTTGTGCATATTTTGATCTCCCGTGGAATGAAGTTTGAACTTTATAAAGGAAGTGCTACAGAGAAGAAGACGAACGACAACGAAACCAGGTTGTATGTTTAATAGCGATATTGTAAGCTCTCTCTCTCGATCTTGTATCGGTTAAAGCAGTGGTTCCCAATTAGTTTTTCCTGCGTACCACTTCAAGAAAGAGCTCAAACTCGCATACCCCCTTATAGCAGAAATTTGTATTAATCCATACTAATATTATAAATTCGAAGATAATTCTGTCTGTCTGTCACCTTTTCACGTCTAAACTGCTGAACAGGTTTTAATAAAATTTGGCGCAGAGATAGCTTACACGTTGGAGATGGACATAGACTACATTTTACTGCGAGAAAATATCTTATTCCAACGAGAAAATTCAATATAATGCGGGCGAAGCCATGGGTAGACAGCTAGTGAAAACTAGAATAAATATTTTTTACATTTATTGCCTTTAAAATACAATTCTAATAATAATGAAAATGACATACAGTTATTTAATTTTAATGTGACAAATGTGCACGATTATCTTCGCACAACTTTGTAAAACCTGGTGGCTTTTTGGTCAGCTTCAGTCTCGAGTCATCTTCGAGTCGAAGTCAGTGACGTTGTTTAATTTAGTGTTTGTCATGACCGAAAATCCGCTCTCGCAGAGGTATTTTGTGCAAAATGGTAGTATATATTTTATTGCCGTTTCGCCGACATAATAATAATGATAATTCTACAATTAACACAAATTGTGTTAATTGTACAAGTTTTGTTTCTTGCGTAAGAATTTTATTTAGGTATTGTCACAAATGCATTTTTTAAATGAAATTTCGAGAATATTTTTAGTTATAAATACACGAATTTGTGCATTCGACATCGTGTTATAAATTGCCGAATTTTTGACGGTCCACCCATTATTTTTTTGATTGCTTCATGTCGTGCATTTAAATTTTAAATCGACTGATTTTAGATTGCCGCGCGTACCCCTTCATGCAATTTCGCGTACCCATGGGGGTACGCGTACCACTAATTGGGAATCACTGGGTTAAAGGATAAGTTCGTATATCTCTCGACTTTTATATATATATATATATATATTGTGATTTGAATTAATTGTCTCTCATTCGTTTGCTTATTATATTGGTATTAATCCGTTAGTGTATAGTCATAATTATATATATGATTGATTAAATTTACCCTTGTTTATTTGTTAAAGGATGTCTCATTATTATTATTTCTTGAATAGGATCTACAGCATAAATTTCACGCGTGTTTATCCGCGTTACGCAAGTAGATAAACTGGTGTCGGGAACCTGACGTTGTGATAGAGACTTCACAGTCTTTAATCCTCATTAAGCCTGAATATTACAGCCCTCCTATGAAGATTTAAGATCAGATCTCGCGATTCGAAACTTTAGAGAACTATTCTCACGGAATAGGCCAGTAAGTGGTGTAAACTTAGTTCTACGTCCTGGTGGATTTCACAATAATTATAGATTCATTATTTGTGATCTGTAAGACTAGTATTCTAACAAGGGAAGCCTGGGTGGTTGTCATCACTGAATTCAACAAAACTTCATGGATGTATAGTATTTACTGTTGCTTAAACGCTGCAGGACCCACTATTCAGGCATTCTTAAGAAAATCACAATCGAAGTTTTTCTATAACTATTAAGTACGCAGAAGCACAGTTCACGTGTCTGTTATCAAAACAATATGTAAAGATTGTACGAATGATTATTTGTGTGTGGTGCATTGAACCATTATGTTTTAATGTTTTATAATAAATACTGCCCAAAATGTCATATTCTTATGCAACAGTAATTGTAAGTATTTATTGCATGTAAATTTTTGTGGCAAAAGCTTTAAATTGTTGAAAAAGAATTTTTGAATTTCCTGATATTTTATAAATAATAATAAATTTTAAATTCGATAATTAAAAATGGCATAAAAATTGTACATAAGAAGTTTAATAACAATAAGGTTAATTTTTTTGCATTTATAATTGTATTGTACGAGGATTTGAACCTGTATAGTAATGCTCTTCACGCAACCCCTTAACTAATTATGCCAAACACGTGAATGGTGCTTTTGTGTAGGTTTCAATAGTTCTAGAATTAAAATTTTTCTCATTTCTGTTTGATTTAATTGAAATATTATGAAGAAAAGTCAATAAGTTTGTTTATAACTTATTCTAGCTAATATAAAGTAAAAAAATTGTTGTAAACAAGAATTATATGCTGCTGAGAGAAGATTTTATAAATTAAAATATAATCTAAAAACTGGAGTGGAAATAAACTCAACCTACCTTGTCAGACAAAGCTTTTAGACTATCTAGAAATCTTGTCCAAAAGTCTCTAAATAGCGGACGGTCAATTTTCTTCAAGCTGTCTTTACTGGCGGCGTCTACCGAAACGTACAGTTGGGTCACCGGATCTAATTTTGATATGGCATCCGGAAACTGTGCATTGGTGACGAGAAAGGTAGAGATTCCACGACCGTGAAGAAGTCGGACAAACTTGTTTATCTCCGGATACATTATGGGTTCTCCAACGAGTGATAATGCACAATGTTTAGCTTCCATTCCTTCTTTAAACCTCTCTTCCTTTACACCAGGTACACCTTTTTAAATAATAAAAATAAAAAAGTATTAATTGTTTATTTCCAAATGAATGACAAAACAAAGGAAGCTGTAAAATGCATTTCTTCTTTCTACTATAATAATAGATGAAAAAAGAAATATCTATAAATTGTTAATTTTCAAAATAAAAATCAAATATTTATAAAGTTATAACAGGTACAACTCTAAGCCAGACACAAACCCTTAAATTCTTTGATCATCCGATAATGATTTTTCAAAGCTTCCTGGAATATTAGTTCCGGATTGTCCATTTTCCATTTCCACTCGGTTCCGACGGGATTGGAATGATGCCTTAATTTAAAAAACAAAAATAATTTAATTTATATATCTTGAAAAAATTAAAATATTAACTTTAAAATGTTCTTTTTTCTCCTATTTGATATGTATAATCTTTATTTAAATTAATAAATATATAAACGTTTACGATACATGCTGGACATAATTATGTAGTTTATTTCTATTATGCATATCGTATGACTCCACCAGAAGAACTACGAAGAAAACTGATAAATAAACACTGACTCCTTCATGTATTCTATTAAGATTATACTTTTTTGGGGGCCAAACTGTCCCATCTTCAGATCTGTGTGTTTAAAATTACAAAGAGAAAACTATTCAAAGTACACATAACTGTGAGAATGGGAGATTGTGGGTTATTCCTTTCCAAATATGGGAAAGGAAGATTCGTAAAAATCTTTCCTAGTCAGTTCGCAGACTAAGGCGTGCTGAAATTAATTTATCTTCCGAGTGGTCAAAGATAAAAATAGTTGACTGGGAATTTTAGGAGGTTTTATATTCAAACATTTAACGGTAATGTGAGCCAACAATGGAGTTAGGCATTAAATCAATCTAATGACAGTTTAGAGCAGGGGTGTCCAACCTTTTTGTTTCTCTGGGCCCCATTGGAAGAAGTCAAGGAGTTTTGGGCCACAAGTATATATAATATATACTTGTGGCCCAATATACAAGTATATTTAAGGACTTACATGTGTAGATAATAATAATAAATATTATAACTTTATCAAGAAAAAANAAAAAAAAAAAAAAAAAAAAAAAAAAAAAAAAAAAAAAAAAAAAAAAAAAAAAAAAAAAAAAAAAAAAAAAAAAAAAAAAAAAAAAAAAAAAAAAAAAAAAAAAAAAAAAAAAAAAAAAAAAAAAAAAAAAAAAAAAAAAAAAAAAAAAAAAAAAAAAAAAAAAAAAAAAAAAAAAAAAAAAAAAAAAAAAAAAAAAAAAAAAAAAAAAAAAAAAAAAAAAAAAAAAAAAAAAAAAAAAAAAAAAAAAAAAAAAAAAAAAAAAAAAAAAAAAAAAAAAAAAAAAAAAAAAAAAAAAAAAAAAAAAAAAAAAAAAAAAAAAAAAAAAAAAAAAAAAAAAAAAAAAAAAAAAAAAAAAAAAAAAAAAAAAAAAAAAAAAAAAAAAAAAAAAAAAAAAAAAAAAAAAAAAAAAAAAAAAAAAAAAAAAAAAAAAAAAAAAAAAAAAAAAAAAAAAAAAAAAAAAAAAAAAAAAAAAAAAAAAAAAAAAAAAAAAAAAAAAAAAAAAAAAAAAAAAAAAAAAAAAAAAAAAAAAAAAAAAAAAAAAAAAAAAAAAAAAAAAAAAAAAAAAAAAAAAAAAAAAAAAAAAAAAAAAAAAAAAAAAAAAAAAAAAAAAAAAAAAAAAAAAAAAAAAAAAAAAAAAAAAAAAAAAAAAAAAAAAAAAAAAAAAAAAAAAAAAAAAAAAAAAAAAAAAAAAAAAAAAAAAAAAAAAAAAAAAAAAAAAAAAAAAAAAAAAAAAAAAAAAAAAAAAAAAAAAAAAAAAAAAAAAAAAAAAAAAAAAAAAAAAAAAAAAAAAAAAAAAAAAAAAAAAAAAAAAAAAAAAAAAAAAAAAAAAAAAAAAAAAAAAAAAAAAAAAAAAAAAAAAAAAAAAAAAAAAAAAAAAAAAAAAAAAAAAAAAAAAAAAAAAAAAAAAAAAAAAAAAAAAAAAAAAAAAAAAAAAAAAAAAAAAAAAAAAAAAAAAAAAAAAAAAAAAAAAAAAAAAAAAAAAAAAAAAAAAAAAAAAAAAAAAAAAAAAAAAAAAAAAAAAAAAAAAAAAAAAAAAAAAAAAAAAAAAAAAAAAAAAAAAAAAAAAAAAAAAAAAAAAAAAAAAAAAAAAAAAAAAAAAAAAAAAAAAAAAAAAAAAAAAAAAAAAAAAAAAAAAAAAAAAAAAAAAAAAAAAAAAAAAAAAAAAAAAAAAAAAAAAAAAAAAAAAAAAAAAAAAAAAAAAAAAAAAAAAAAAAAAAAAAAAAAAAAAAAAAAAAAAAAAAAAAAAAAAAAAAAAAAAAAAAAAAAAAAAAAAAAAAAAAAAAAAAAAAAAAAAAAAAAAAAAAAAAAAAAAAAAAAAAAAAAAAAAAAAAAAAAAAAAAAAAAAAAAAAAAAAAAAAAAAAAAAAAAAAAAAAAAAAAAAAAAAAAAAAAAAAAAAAAAAAAAAAAAAAAAAAAAAAAAAAAAAAAAAAAAAAAAAAAAAAAAAAAAAAAAAAAAAAAAAAAAAAAAAAAAAAAAAAAAAAAAAAAAAAAAAAAAAAAAAAAAAAAAAAAAAAAAAAAAAAAAAAAAAAAAAAAAAAAAAAAAAAAAAAAAAAAAAAAAAAAAAAAAAAAAAAAAAAAAAAAAAAAAAAAAAAAAAAAAAAAAAAAAAAAAAAAAAAAAAAAAAAAAAAAAAAAAAAAAAAAAAAAAAAAAAAAAAAAAAAAAAAAAAAAAAAAAAAAAAAAAAAAAAAAAAAAAAAAAAAAAAAAAAAAAAAAAAAAAAAAAAAAAAAAAAAAAAAAAAAAAAAAAAAAAAAAAAAAAAAAAAAAAAAAAAAAAAAAAAAAAAAAAAAAAAAAAAAAAAAAAAAAAAAAAAAAAAAAAAAAAAAAAAAAAAAAAAAAAAAAAAAAAAAAAAAAAAAAAAAAAAAAAAAAAAAAAAAAAAAAAAAAAAAAAAAAAAAAAAAAAAAAAAAAAAAAAAAAAAAAAAAAAAAAAAAAAAAAAAAAAAAAAAAAAAAAAAAAAAAAAAAAAAAAAAAAAAAAAAAAAAAAAAAAAAAAAAAAAAAAAAAAAAAAAAAAAAAAAAAAAAAAAAAAAAAAAAAAAAAAAAAAAAAAAAAAAAAAAAAAAAAAAAAAAAAAAAAAAAAAAAAAAAAAAAAAAAAAAAAAAAAAAAAAAAAAAAAAAAAAAAAAAAAAAAAAAAAAAAAAAAAAAAAAAAAAAAAAAAAAAAAAAAAAAAAAAAAAAAAAAAAAAAAAAAAAAAAAAAAAAAAAAAAAAAAAAAAAAAAAAAAAAAAAAAAAAAAAAAAAAAAAAAAAAAAAAAAAAAAAAAAAAAGATAGAGAAAATAAAAAGACGGACAATCCATAGCTTAGATAATGTTGATAATTCAAAATCTCAAAAAGAATTAAATTCTGAAGCTTCTGCTTCTGGAGACGATCAAGATGGAGGATAATCTCTGAGTTTTTCTAATTTATTTGATGAATTAACTTCTGTTGAACGAAAGAATAAATAAAAGCATGTTTTTAAAAGGAAGAAAAAACAAAACAAATGAACAAACGTTTCGATCAAGAATTAGAATAATATTTACATTTACCTCTTATACAAAGACATAGCGACCCATTTTTTTGGTGGAAAATTCAAAAGAAGTTTTTTTCTAATTTAAGCAAAATAGCTATGAAATATCTAAGTCCCTCAGCATCTTCCATTGAAAGTGAAAGAATTTTCAGAGTTGGAGGTAACATNTTTTAATTATTGCCAAATGATATGCTAGATTATTTATTGGATTACTTTAAGATTAATTTAATAATTAGATATAAAGAAATTTGTAATTATTAAATTAACCTTAATATATTCCAATAAATAATCTTGCAGTTCATTTGGCAATACTAACTGAAGTGCGTCATATATGTTGTTAATTTCTATTGTATATTTTCTGTGGTTTTAATATTTTAAATAAAAAAAAAATTATAATGGAAAATAATAAATTATATAATTTTCTGAGAATAGATATCCTTTATAACATTTAACCCAATTGTTCAATTTTTATACATATTTTTAGAAACATATTGTCTGAAAATCAAGGGCTAATATGAAATTGTATACATCAATACAAATACAATATCATTTAAGAAACAATGTTAACTACCAGAATTTAATTGTAATCTTCTTGCCTCCAATAAATTATTTAATTATCTTAAACTTCCAATTGGGGGAGATATTGGAGACTTATCAAATTGGAGTATCAAAATAATGGAGATCACATCTTTAAAAACCAATTTTATTAGTGGAATGTATTTTGGTCCTATATAATTCCTCATACATAGTTACTGACCTGTTTAATACAGAGTAACATAAGGAATTGTTTGTAGATTATATAGAAGAATTTTAACCAGATGGCTAAAGAGGCAGTTAGCAATGTATATCCAATGTAAATTTAATAATAATAAAATAATGCAAGTATCAATTTTTATATAAAAGTGGCTGAAGAGGGTCTGTGTATGACCTAACTGCATTTCACTAATAAAATTGGTTTTTAAAGATGTGATCTCTCTTATTTTGATGCTCCAATGAGTCTCCAACTCTCTTTGATGCTCCAACAGTTTAATGAGTCGCCAATATCTTCACCAATTGGAAGTTTGAGATAATTAAGAATAATGCTAGTTATATTGTGAGATCTGAAAGGGCCCTGGGTCTAAATTAATAATTTCAGAATAATATTAAATTTTTTATAAAATATTCTTTCATTTGGGTGAGAAAAATAACATTTTACAGTGGGAAAGATAGATAACAGATGCTACTTCCTTCTAGGGAAGTTAGAACATCCTCTGTTTTTCCCTTATCTGCTAAAAATCTCGCTTCAATGGGAAATTTTTATCCCTCAAATATTCTTCTTTTTGTCCGTTCCCACGGAAGAATCTTTGTATGATGATTGGTCACCGATCTTCAGATATAGAGGAAATTTATCCGAATTCGGGGAGTTCATCGACAGACTGGGAAGAGTCAGGACTCCACACATATTTCTCCTGATGGCCAATGCCCTTAGTCGAATCACATAGAATGAATCTAGAGTTAGCGCTTAGAAGATATACTTTAATTTTGTGCATATTTTGATCTCCCGTGGAATGAAGTTTGAACTTTATAAAGGAAGTGCTACAGAGAAGAAGACGAACGACAACGAAACCAGGTTGTATGTTTAATAGCGATATTGTAAGCTCTCTCTCTCGATCTTGTATCGGTTAAAGCAGTGGTTCCCAATTAGTTTTTCCTGCGTACCACTTCAAGAAAGAGCTCAAACTCGCATACCCCCTTATAGCAGAAATTTGTATTAATCCATACTAATATTATAAA